AGTTTTGTCACTAAAAACGAAATTTAAATTCTGAAAAAGCTGCATGGAGGCGCTCTATCTATGCTTGAGTAATTCTTTTCATGTTTAAGTGTTTTTAATAAACGAAGAGGTACTGAATAATGCATTTTTATAATCGAAATCGAAAAAAAATTTGTCAACTAATTTGACTCGTTACGGCCGGGTGTTGCCAAATGGCAACATGTAGCCATTGGATACAAAAAAAAAATTTTTCTTCTGAAAAATATATTTTTGGTATCACTGTGGTGGAGCAACAAAAAATATGCAAGACAATATTTTCTTGTTGTCTGCTTTCTGGGAGCCGGCTGGAAAGGGTTAATGAACTGTTATTGAATAAAATGAAAACAGACGTCGATGACAAACGTCTCCATAGGCCAAACTAAACACCAGAAAGTCGGTCTATGAGTTATTCACTTCTGACCAAAGCTGAACCATGTTATTTTCTATAAAAAATCCAGCACTGTTCTAATTGCATTGGATGAATTTTTAACACATCCATGAACAAACATATCTTCGTATGCCAGGGGTTGATAGATAAATAAATGTTCGATAGCATCTTCTTTCTTTTTCATTTTTTATAACAATATATACTGATGGTTGTTGTTTCAAACGAGATTTAATTCGTTTTGTACGCGACAACGACCCAATACTAGTAGTTGAACAAAACAAGGTGTTAACACAAGTTGATGATTGAAAAGGTATAGTAGGAATAGAATTAGAAAAATTTATTCATGAACGAAATAGGCATTAAGTTGAATATAAAGCAAAATTTTTTTTCAAGTGATGACAATATGATCTTTTGTTTTATATATTTGCTCTTCATTGTAACAATGTTTTAGCCAATGAACGAATTACATGAGGTTTTCGAAAAAAAAAAGCTTAGTAGAAATGTGCAAAATCTTTTGAAAATTTTATGTTTTATTCAAGAGTCGACTCATTGGAAAATCTGATCACCCCAGCCCAACTCATTGAAACTTCTGATGAATGGAACTAGACAAATTGATAGAGCGAAGGTCGAAAAAATGTGATTATCATCTGCACGTGCTTTATAGATGACGTCAAATTGAATTCATATTTTATCGACACTTAGACTGAAACTATTGTAATGTAAATCATAACAATTACATGTCATTGAAAATGCTTCAGGTACAATCAGTTAAGTTTCTAGAATTTAAATTAATGATGAGTATCAAGTTTTCTCAATTTGTTGGTTATTAATCTTAATAGTATATTTGAAAAACATGTTGTTCTTCTTTTCTTTTTCTTTATATAGACAGAATGTCAATATACAGAAATTGACCAATAGAAAAACAACAATTATGTACTCCTATTGGTTAAAAAAAGTTGTCACAAGGCTGGTCTATATAAATGAAGACATGTGCCTAGTTAGTTCTCATATTTGCATATTCTTCTATCGTTTATTCGATTGATACAAATTCATTATGCCACCAAAAACTCAAACACCGTCAAAAGGTTCAAAAAAGGCTGTTACCAAAACCAGCAAAGGTTCAACTGGACCCAAAAGTGAGAAGAAACAAAGACGTCGACGAAAGGAAACCTATTCAATCTATATCTACAAGGTTCTTAAACAAGTTCATCCAGATACTGGTATTTCGTCAAAAGCTATGTCGATCATGTAAGTTTTACATGAAAATTTTTTATGAAATTTTTATATTATTTATTTTTATTTAATAGGAACTCATTTGTGAACGATATCTTTGAACGTATTGCTGCTGAAGCTTCACGTTTATCACACTATAACAAACGATCAACAATTTCATCACGTGAAATTCAAACAGCTGTTCGTCTCTTGTTACCTGGTGAATTAGCTAAACATGCTGTGTCAGAAGGCACAAAAGCTGTTACTAAATATACCAGTGCTAAATAAATTGATGGCTTATATTGAGATGATGAATAACACTCTCAATAAATATACATAAAGAATATTCTAAAACCCAACAGCCCTCTTTAGGGCTATTTATATCATATATTTAAAACACATGGATTCGTGTCTAGCATTTTTGAATTTGTTGTCATGGTTGAATAAATGTATATAGAAATGAATATTTCAAATTAATGAAAAGTACTTTCATATAATTACCATAACTGCCGAACTGTACGAAGATTGAATTATTGTTATTTTTTTTTCTATAGAACTAAAAGATATTGTTTATTGCAAAATAAGATTGACCCTATGTTTGCACTGGATCATAGTCACTTAAAAAAAATATCAAATAGAATTCTTGAAATATATTTCCATCGTATTTGTCAAAAAATCAGACCCATCCCAATAACATTGAATTTTCATACACGATATATTCGAAAAAAAACTATGAAAATTATATATAGAATAATGACAGACTTGAAGATGAAGGGCGAACGCTACTATCTTCTGAAATATTTTTCTCTCAAGAAAATGTCAAAAAAAAACTGATTGAATCTATGATGAACTTGAAAACATTTTTTATCAACACGATCAATACCCTTCAACATTCCAAATGCCTTGTTAATATAAAATTAAAATCATTTCGATATTTTTTTTTTTGGCATCTTGTAGATAATTCTTTGTTTGTTGCACAATTCTATTATAATTCTTGAATAAAAAAATAGTAAAGCAAAGTTAGCATTCAGTATAGTTCATAACACGATATCATATATTTGAATTTAAAAAATAGAATATTGTAGCCCTAAAGAGGGCTGTTGGGTTTTAGTTGTTTAAGACTATTCGAGAGTGATATTATTCATCTCGTATTTGGTTTCATCGTTGTTCATACTATTTAAGCGCGTTCACCACGGATGCGGCGGGCCAATTGGATGTCCTTTGGCATGATGGTTACACGTTTAGCATGGATAGCACATAAGTTGGTATCTTCGAAAAGACCGACTAAGTATGACTAAAGAAGAAAAAAAACAGAAACAGTTAATATTTCATATTGAAAGATAGAAAAATTCAACATACTTCACACGATTCTTGTAAAGCCATAACAGCCGACGATTGAAATCGAAGATCTGTTTTGAAATCTTGAGCGATTTCACGAACCAATCGTTGAAATGGTAATTTACGGATAAGTAATTCAGTCGATTTTTGGTAACGACGAATTTCACGAAGAGCAACTGTACCTGGACGAAAACGATGAGGCTTTTTAATACCACCTGTAGCTGGAGCTGATTTTCGTGCAGCTTTGGTTGCTAATTGTTTTCGTGGAGCTTTACCACCAGTTGATTTACGTGCGGTTTGTTTTGTACGAGCCATTGGTTATATCTTATTTTGTTTAATAAACGTGTGAATAAGAGAGCGATGAAATGTTTCGATGACGAATAACAGAAAAACAAGAAAACGAACGCTTTTTATAAATAAGACGGTCATCTGTGTATTATTGGTTCAATAATAGAATCATTAACTGACCAATGAATAAGCATGGGTCTTTGTTTTCTTAAATAACCAATCAATATATCTATGTATATCGAGTATAAAAACAGTTGTTTAATTCATTCTTATCCTCATATTCATCCAGTCGTCTTCTTTCTTCTTGTTAATTCACATTTAAACAAATTAAACAATGTCCGGACGTGGTAAAGGTGGTAAAGGTCTTGGTAAAGGTGGTGCTAAACGCCATCGTAAAGTTTTACGTGATAACATCCAAGGTACGTTTTTCTATTTTTTTAAAAATATAATCTAATCTATATATTTCCATTTTTGTTATTTTTCTATAGGTATCACAAAACCAGCTATTCGTCGTCTTGCTCGACGAGGTGGTGTTAAACGTATATCTGGTTTAATCTATGAAGAAGTTCGTGGTGTTCTTAAAATCTTTCTTGAAAACGTTATTCGTGATGCTGTTACATATACAGAACACGCCAAACGTAAAACAGTTACAGCCATGGATGTTGTCTATGCACTTAAACGACAAGGTCGTACACTTTACGGTTTCGGTTCATAAGCGGTTTTTTTTCTTACTGCTCAATCGAATGAAAATGAATAACATCAATCATTAATTATAAATAAAAACCCAACAGCCCTCTTTAGGGCTACTATTTTTCTTTTTTAAATTCGAATTTATGGCATCGTTCTATTAAACACATTAACTTTGTCGAGTGTGTCAATAGGAAAAAAAAGTTGAATAAAAAAAAAATTAGTCAAACACGAAAAACAAATTCAAGCACAAAAATTGCCACATCAATTTCTTGTTACAATAAATAAGCTGTTATATTCATACTAGATATCTAGATCTAATCTATGATAAAATTTGAGATTTACAGTCAGAGAGATTCAAGTAATATAAAATTCATTGAAATTTTTGAAGTATTATTTGAAAATTCTTCGACCGTTTTATTAAGAATGTCAAATAAAACATGTGCGTACATATTTACTTTATGTTCTTCATTTTGATCTTTTATTGGCTTCAATCAATTCAAATAATGTTTGACAATTTGATGCAGCAAAACATTTTCCAATTTTGATTTATTGTCAAATATTTCACTTCTCAATTTTTTCTTAAATTCACGTCAAATATCAGGAAATTTTGCTTGGTGAAATTCAGAATAAATATGTTCATGAAATAAAAAGTCAATGCTACTCATCCCAACTGTTGTTCAATATTTGCTATGTTAATTATCGTGAAAATTGGGTACGGAGTTTATACTTTAGAAAAATGACAAATGATAAAAAACAAGTTATGCACGCAAAAATAAAAGTTACTCTTTATGAGACATTGGTTGAATAACAACGTTTTTTTCTTCCGTGTTGTTTGTAAAAATACTGCAAAAACTTTCTAAGAACTTTATATCGCTTATATCTCTGTGATTACAAAAGATAGAGAAAGCTCAAATTCTAGAGTAGAATAGATCTAAATGTCTAGCAGATATGCTGTAAATATTAGTCCATTCTCTTGAAAAAAAAAACATGAGAAACGAATATTATTGAAGGGGAGCAGTACTTATTAGACATACTTCGAACTTTTCAAGTGTCCACTATAGAAAGTTTCACTGTATATTTTGTTGTATCATCATTTTATGTGAAAACTGTTACTGATATAGTTTTCCTTTTTCTTGTCCAATGTCACTTCTATTGACATTCGAACTTTTATACTCATCATTAATGATTAAATCTAAGTCAGTTTAACATGTGAAAAAGTTCGCCTTCTGAAACTTACAATTGAATCCTTCTTGGGGAAATTTGTTATTCAAATATCATTTCTTTTTTTAGAATACTGGTTTGTATTGTTTAGTTTAGAAAGGCCTTAGATTCATGAGAACATGTGCTGTTTAGTGGTCTCAAAACTCTATGCTATTCAATTATTATAATTGAACAACAAAGATACATTAATTGCAGATAAAAGTTAAATTAAAGGCATAATCACATTCATCATAGCTCGAATCTAGAAAAATATTACAACTCGGAATAAATATGTGGCAACTCTGCATAACCATTGCATGACATATTTTAAAAAGTTCAGGCTGATTTTCTCTATAATTGAATGCTCATTTTTCCGCTTCGAACTAGAAGATAAAAGTGATTCTACATGTAGCTCGTTTTTCTATGCTATAGAATTTTGACACAGCTAGTTATACAAAAGATATAGCTGTGTTGTAGACGTGAAAGGTTTTTTTTTAAACATGCTGTTTGTTGAAATGTTCAAAAACTTAATTAATAACATTTGATATAGCTTATTTTTGTGTAATTTATTCCGTGATGCAATATTGCCAAAATTTCTAATGCCTGTTAATGCAATAGATCGTCTTAATAACGAATAAACAGTTCTGTCATACAGTTTGCTAGTTTAATCTTTAATGATTAAAGTCATTAATTTACTTGTACAATGCTTATCTCAGCTTGTTTATAAAAATGAACATACAAGAAAAACAAATAAAGATTCTGAATTAGAGCAATGAGTATGAAACTAAAGTTGAATGCTATTGTTTTTTTTTGTCACAATTGTCTTATCGACGGGTGGTACCACCATAACCTATGTGAAAAAAATAATTGATGAAGAAAAGAAAAAATAATATAGCTATCATACCAGTACTGGTATGAGAACTGCTCGATGATGACGATGGACTAGATCCAAATGTATCCGTTGTTGTTCTTGTTGTTCCCGTACCAAACCAACCAGTATTTGCTGTACCAGGCATATATTGATTATCACGTCTAGAAAAATACTTTATTCTAACTATAAATAGATAAATGATTTAATTTACTGTCGATTTCGAGCACCAAAAACATAACCACCTAAAGCACCAAGTGCAGCTCCAGTTAAAAAGTTTGCTCCACCACCTGTACCAGTATTTTGTTGTTGATTAGCAGTACAGTCTAAAGAAGTAAATAGATCAATAATTCCCCGTTTTAGTTTAATGAAATATTTGACTTTAGGGAGCTGCAGTTCCAAAGTATAATTTATTATTTGGTCTGGGTTCATAAAAACTTGGGCCCGCAGCTCCACATTTCACTTACCTGATCCATCATTTCCATAATCAGTAAAACCTGGTCGAAAACCTGGTGGCGGTGGTTGTCTTCGTCGAGCATCACCTTGTCCTGGTGCACCACCTCGAAAGAAATTACCAAAACCACCATTGCCACCTGGAAAAAAATTTGAAAACCATCCACCTCCACCACCACCACCTATTTTGAAAAATTAAATAAAATCAATAATAAAATAAAAGCTTGCAATTTACCTGGTGGACGATGATCAGGTCCAGCTGACATTGGTCTCGCACCGCCCGTTTGATTGTTACCAGAAAGATATGATTTAATAGCAAAAAATACAATAACAATAAGTGCTACTTTAAATAGAAATGGCCAAAATTTTGAGCTCGATCTAACATAAAAGAATTAAAAGTTATTTAAAAGAGAAGAAAAACATTTTTAACTTACGAATGTCGAACATTTGTTGATTGTCTTGAATCAGAAAAACTTTTATCCGTTAATTCAAGATTATATTCTAACTAAAATTCAATAAACGAAAATATTTTCTTGTTGTTCTCAAAATAAAAGAATGATTTTATATACTCCACAAGATCCAGCTAAAATATAAGGATCATCTGGATAACCATATCCTTCACATGAAACACTTAATTTTCCAAATTTATATTTTTGTGGCATTTCAGCTGTACATTCCCACTAGAAAACAAAAAACGAAATAGTTCTTATTATTGAAAAGGATCCTATCGAATAAGACGACCGTCCTCCATTTGAAAAACCATTCGTACTGATTTGTAGAGTAACTCGTATTACATCGAATGACATATACAAGTTGAGAGATCTTTTATAGCAATTATGGGTGATATCATCAAATATTAGGACTTATTATGTCTTACTTTTTGAGTGAGAAAATTTCTATCTAATAATAATAAGATCATCATGTTCAATCATTTGCCATATATGAATTTTTTGAAAAAGGCAAGAAAGTGTTGCACTTTCGGACTCCTGGAGGAGGAAGGTACGAGAATGAACTGGTTCAAAGATCAGTTTTTATTTAATTTTCTTCCTCACGAATATAGCTTCTGAGTCGTCAAATGTGGTTAAAGTATGAAGTTCTATTAAATTCAATACATGTTCTGTATTTAGTGAAACTTAAAAATTTTGCATATTCTGATATCGAAGAATCCAAGAGCCTGAGGTTTTTCTCCATTTTCAAAAGTTTCACATACGTCGAATGATGAGTTTATTATTAATAGACAGAAAAATTTTCACTCAAAAAGTATTTATTGCAAATGTTATATACTTTTCCGTCCTTAGGAATCAAAATATTGGTCATTTTATGCATTGATTGACCCATTTGACTATGATGTAAATCAATGCACTGGACAATCAATTGGTATACTTATATAACTTGATGGAACATAATTTCTGAGAAAAGTTGCACGATCGATCGTTTTTACTCTTAGAAGCACTATCGAACAATTGAAAACATCATAAAATTCAACAATTACAAACGCTAAGAAAAGTGATCAAGTTTTAGGCACCTAGAAAGTTATTATGAGAATTATTATTTATACTTCATGGAAGATGAGACAAAATTCTATTGAAGTAACTTTTAAGAAAATTCGATATAGGTTGATTCGGAGACATATTCAATTCAAATATTTGCTTTAATCATCCACATTTACTATAATATACGATTTCTCAGAATATCAAAACTTGATGAAAAAATAATTTCCTATATACTGTTCAATGCGGCATGAGTTGCTATGTAAAAAAAAAAAGTATAGGTGACTTTTCAAATAAAAGGATGGTCATCATATCCGACAGGATACTTTATAATCTTACTTGAATATCAATACCATTTGATCCACGATTATAACATTGTACAACATCAGGTTCATAAGCACATTTTGCTGATCCGCCAATACATTTTAATTGCGGAATAGACGAAACTCGTCTGGCTTCAGTCCGTTGCCCTTTATGAAGTGTTAATGTTTTAACATCTTCAAGTAAAACACTTCGTTGTTGATTACCAGCTAAAAAAAATGTTATTTTTAAAAGTTTCTTTCTTTTTTTCGTTTACCTTGGACAAGATATAATGATAAATAGCAAATAATTGCTAATTGAATGAAAAGCTTCATGGTACAAACGTTTGTTTTTCTACGAATGAATGAATGAATGAATGACTGATAGGAAAAAAAAAACTGATGAGTAAGACTACATCATCGTCACTTGGACGAATCAAAATTCATCATTAAACCCCTAAAAAGAGTTTAGAATTGTTATTGATTGGTAACAAACGACCAATATTTTTTTTCGGTCGATAATATCAATTTTTTTCTTTCCGAACTGTTTTTGAAAGATGTCCAATTCAAAGGAAGGTAAATTAATATATTAAAAATTAATTCGTAGGGTTTTTTTTTGTTAATACAAAAGCAAACAAAAAAATTTAGGTTGGTTAAAAATTAGAAAAAATGATCAAACAAAATGGCATCGTCGATATTGTATTATTGATTGGGATAAATCAGTTTTATTTATTGCATCAAAAGTTGACACACGTTATAGAGATTGGATTAAACTTTTACCAAATATAATTATTAATGATTTTGAATATTCATTTAATAATGAATCAAATCATAATAATAATAATACTTTAGTAATTAATACAATTGAAATTATTTCTGATAGTATGAAAGAATAATTTTTATAAATTGAATATATATTTTATTTCTATTTTAAGATGGAACATCAACAAATTACTTACAAGCAGAAACAAAAAAAGATTATGATAGTTGGTTATTAGCATTAAAACAAACAGCATATAGTCGAGTGGGTGGTGGTAAGTTAATTCTTTAAAACAAAAAAAAAGAACTTTCTTAGGAATGAAATGTCATGTACTTATAATTTGTTACGTTTAGTAAGTTCAAATAAGAACCTTTCGTATTGGAACAAATTATAGGAAAAAAAAACAATCAATTCTTATCAGTTTAACATTTTTTTTTTGTTAGCTTTTTATTAAATATTAATGGATCATGATAAAAGAGATTCGATAATTTTGACATTTGTGTTTTTTTGAATTCCTCTTCAGCCAATGAACTGTAACAGATACTTAGACAATCACGTATTATAGATTCGGAACAGACATTGACTCAAAAGCAATGTTATAACAAGATTTTCTCTTCTGGAGAGATGATTCAAAAACTCCGGAAATACAAACATCTATTTTTGAGAGCATGAAAACATAGTACATGAAAAAAGAGATATAAATTTCGCGAGAACCAATCTAATCTTCGGAAAGACGCCTCCTCCACGATGAATAAAACATTATCCGAAAGCGGAATTTATTGTGTTTTTTTATGGATTCTTAAACAAGAAATCTGTAAGTGTATAGGCAAATAGAAAAAGCCTTAAGATAATATTGATTTAATTTAGTATGATGAATTGAATTTATATAAGATTACTTTAGTACAAACATTTAGTGCATGTTCCTTATTTTGATTCCGCAGAGATTTCGCTACAACTTTTTATTAAACAACAAAACCTTCAAGTAAATGATTTATATGACTACAAGCCCATGAAATAGTTCATGCTATTAACTGTCTATGGATAGTAGCATGTCACACATTAGATAAAAATGATCAAGCTTTGATATAATAATGAAAATGAATTATTAAGACTCATCGATGTGAAGAATAATTTAACGTTTTGATTTCGTTCTATAACTTGATGTTAATGGTATGAAATTTACATTTAATTATGTGAATAAACTATTTCTTATGATATTAATTTTAGATACATTCTATTTGTTTTTATTCATTTTGATATTTAAATTTATCGTCAGTAAAAAGAAAAGATTTTACATTATAAATAATAAATAAATAAATGAATAATAGTTAATAAATGAATCATAATATATCAAAAAAAGAGTGATGAAAATAAAAATATACTGATTTTTATTTTGTTTTAGCTACTTTTCAGAATTCATTTTTTTTCTTTTTTGAGTTTTTTCTGTAAATTCCGTTGTATATGTTATCATCAAACGAAAGAAACTAGGTTGAAGGCAGGTACCTAACTCAACATACGGATTATCTCTTTTGAATTATGCCTCTAGTTCTCCTTATATGAAATGATTCTAAGGAGTTTTGAATTCAAATGAAAATCATATATTTCGTATTGATTCTAATATTAAGAACTATCCAGATCAATGATTCCAGCTGGAGCCTGCTAGAAAGATGCCTATTCTGATCGCAAAATGGTAAGAACGCGAAAGCAGGAATACGGTGATCAGGTTTTCCCGATTCTATATAGAAGTAATCACTAGATCCAATCAGTAGTTTCCTGCTGCCGACTTTCTACCATTTTTCGACCGGAACTAGGCCCATATTTCTTGACTTGAATATCTACATACCTTATACTCGTCAAAATATTTCAACTCTTAGTTTGTAGAAAATCGCTATCACATATATTCTGAGAATGGAAGATGTGAAAGAAGAAATCAATGTGATTTAGTTTTTTAAGGGTACCCCACCTCCGCTTTCTGAGATTCCTGAAAAATTTATCATCAGAAAGATTTGAGATTTTTAGGACAGGTGATCTTGATGGGTAGAGCGCAAATTATTATTACGGATGCTGTTTTCTATGAGATACTGTGATCATAATAATGAAAAATGATTCGCCCATTTCTCCGAGACGATATGTTCGACTGAGTCGAAAATTTTTTATATAGGTACCAAACATTGTTTGGAGTGGGTAGCTTTTTATTTTTTCGTCCTTGAAATGAAAAAGCTAAAATATCGAATATATCCTAATAAGACATATGTTTCTTTTTAATGAAGCAATCAAAAATCAACAAGAAAAACGATCGTGCAAACAAAAATGCCATTAAATGTTTTCTAGTTTTTGTGATGACTTTTGTATTTCGAAAAAAAACAAATTTAATCAATCTGAATTAGTATGAGACTAATTTACATATTTTAAGAGAATTTATCCGCTTTTCATCGCTCAAAATTTTCGTTTTTGTTTTTTCATAACTATTGTATTGTCTGAAGTAGTATCGTTCTATTGAGTACGTTAATTAGTTAGATTTACGTAACGAAAATAGTGGAAACTGCGTATTGTTTCGTGTTTTTTCTCAAATCGACTTATTCATGGAAAAAAGCGCATAAACGCTCCTATTTCTCTTGTGTAGTATATCCAATCGAGGTAAACTTTTTTCACATATAATATATACTCTTCAGAGTGGGTATTTTTTTTTGTTTCAAAAAACATTGTTCTGTTGATTTTTGATTGCTTCATTAAAAAGAAACATGTGTCTTATTAGGATATATGCGATATTTTAGCTTTTTTATTTCA